CGGCAGTGTCGCGCGCTTGGCTTAGCGCCGAGACACTACCGTGTCTCCAGATATATATATATACATACATATTAAAATTAATTCTTAAAGCAATTTTATTTTATTAGGATTTCTAGCAGCGCGATTACCTTGTTTATTCTGCGACAAGTTCAGCAAAGTATTTTTTACGTTTTCCCTTCTAAAAAGAAAAGTAAACATAACCTACAATAGGTTATATTTTTAAAAACAGCACACACAGATAGAATCTATTTCGTAAATGTATGTGTGTAGCGTAAAACCATAAAACCAAAAAATTCATGAATGAAAACGACGACCCTAGTACCATCTTCTGTGTCATATGTGAACTCGTTCGAAACTAACGAACCATTAATCATAAAACACTAGATGGGCATGCGCTTTTTCATTCCGGTTGGGGCAGGATTACCCGTTCCCCGGCGGGGGAGCGATCTTTGAGACCTGTACTGATGTACTACGCGGAAAGCGCTTTTCTTTTGGAACAAAGCTTCTGGCTACATTGAGGAGATCCACAGAAAACCTATCATAAGAATCTTTTAAACCTAGTTCAGCTAAGACCGGGAGATTTTTAACCTCGTCAAACAGAGCGAGTTTAAAATCCTTACAATCCTTGTCAGTTAGCGACAGCTTGTATTGAAACCTTTTCCTGTATAATGCTTGAATTCCAATATTAGTGACCACGGGAAAGTGATCGCTGCCAAGGGTGTCTGACAATACCTTCGAGTCACATAGAGGTGCCAGCTGCGGTGAAGCAATGGCTAAATCCAAAATGGAGCCCGGAGAGGAAGTATTCCTCAGAAAAGTGGAGGTTCCTCTGCCGAGAAGGAATAGATCATTATCTTGGATGATTTTATGCAAGATGTTACCCGCCGCGGAACGGAGCCTTGATCCCACATAAGATGGTGCGCATTAAAATCGCCTAAAATAATGAAAGACTTGTAGCAATTTAATTTGTCCATTAAATCTCTTTAAAAAGACGTCGGGGTATTTATATTAGGATGTCTGTATAAATTTATTATAACTATAGGATAAGAGTGAAAGCATTGAATTCTAATAGCGATAAGTTCAATTGATGGATGCTTTATGTCTTCGACATAAACGATTTCAAATTTAATGTTATCTCTTATTATAAAGCAAACGCCTCGTTCTCCGGATTGAGTAATATCTTTTCTGAGAATAGTATATCCCTTAATGTTAAGAGGTGAATTGCTCTTGAGTAAAGACTCCTGAATACAGCAGACGTCGTGATCTTTAATAATTGATAATAGCGATGAGAGATTGTGTTTAAGGATCGACAGGAGTGACGGGCCAAGTCCGAATTGACTTTGGAGACCTCACATGGTAGGACCTTGAAGCTCTGGATCATTTTTATAATGCCTTTTTTACAAGAAAATAACTCTGTGCGAGCCTTCAGGAGCTTTTTCTGATTACAAATATCATAATTAAAACACGATTCATGTTATATTTTAGCCACAATTTCAGTATAAAGGTATGTATTTATAAGTGCAGAGCTAGGTCAGTTATGCTCATTTTTCTCCTCGAAGAAATAATATTTCCTTATGAAACCTGTTGGGATTTCTTTGTTATATTGCTGGGAAGGCTCGTACAGAGACAGATTTCGCAAATTGATTCTTGAAAATTTTTTTAAGTAAAATTATGTGTACACCTACTTGCACTATAGTACACTTCGGGTGAGATATCAGAACATATTTTTATGATGCCTTTTTTACAAGAAAATAGCTCTGTACGAGCCTTCAGGAGCTTTTTCTGATTACGAATATCACAATTAAAACACGATTCATGTTATATTTTAGCCACAATTTCAGCATAAAGGTATGTATTTATAAGTGCAGAGCTAGGTCAGTTATGCTCATTTTTCTCCTCGAAGAAATAATATTTCCTTATGAAACCTGTTGGGATTTCTTTGTTATATTGCTGGGAAGGCTCGTACAGAGACAGATTTCGCAAATTGATTCTTGAAAATTTTTATTAATAAAATCATGTACACCTCAACTGCACCATAGTACACATCGAGTGAGATATCAGAACAAATTATTTTCTTCCCTTTTTATAAAAAAAAATAGCTCTGTACGAGCCTTCAGGAGTCTTTCCTAATTACGAATATCACAATTAAAACGCGATCCATCCAATATTTTAGCCATAATTTGGGAATAAAAAATTCATCTTCAACTAGAGGTCTCCAAGGTCTCCTGTCGACCCTTAAGACCGCAGCAATTCCATTGAAGGATGCTTATAAACTTGTTGTTCGAGGTAAATTTAGAGCCTGCATTTGTTTTGCAAATCTTACGACGAGACGACGGAGAGGGGGATAAGGGCGCAAGAGGGGTAGCCGGGACGACCCGGCGCCCCGCGCCGCCTCTCAGTCTTAAAGGGGTCGGATGATCAGTAAACGATGCTCTATCAGAGAAGGAGTTATCGTGAGAGGTATAGAATTTATTTCCGAAAATTACCTGAGAACTCTTGATCATGCTCATATTCGGTTGTATTGTTCCAATGCTGCGCAGGATTATGATTGTAGTCAGAAGATTGAGGATACCTAAAAGATTTATAGTTTGAATGAGGATTTTGGGGGGATTGTAAGAAGATTGAACTTAAATTTCTAACTAGTTGAATAATTAAATTGAGAGCTCCGGGAGCATTGTTATTCTGAAATTGCGAGATGATTTCTGAAGCCATCATAAAAAGTTCAACGAAGCTATATTTGCAGAGCTTCCCCTACCTGCTATACCAACTTGGGGCTGCGGGGGGGAGACCTCTGGAAAAGGCTACCCCGTTACTATGATCAAAATCAGGGCGTCCGTTGGCTTCCCAATAAAGAGCTTGTCTGTGTGCAGAGACATCATAACCTTGCTGACGTGGACGAGTCTGAGAAGAGCTTGGATTGGCAAAAGATGGAGGCGACGTATGTGAAACTTCCTCTCTAAAAAAGGTTTGCGGATTCCTCGGCAGTCTGGGGCGCTGTTGCGACTTAGTAACGTCCGCATATGAGCGGTTTTCATTGTAAGATCCCATTTCGCCTAAAATGTTAAATCTGTTATTATTTTCAAAAGAGGGGGTTCTGCTGTCGCGAGGCAAACTGGGGAAATTATTAGGATTGGTGCTCGCAGGGGAACCATTAGGAGAGGGAAAGGATATCCAACCGCTTTCAACGCGACTTCTAGCTTCGGCCATTGAGATATTTTCAACAGCTGCCATGCTCACTGCACTACGTTGTTTCACAACTATGGGACACACATTGTCATTAGCCCAATGATTACCTTTGCAATTAACGCATTTTGGGTTGTCGGCCTGCGCGTCGCATAGCGATTCTGCACCGTTTTCACTAAGATGCTTGTTGTCTCCACAAAATTTGCATCTAGGTGCACTCTTGCATGAACTGCTGATATGACTAACTCTGAAACACTGGTAACAGATTCTGGGTGACGGAATGAATGGATGTACCTCATGTTTGACTTTGAACAAGAATACTTCGTGCGGCAGCAGTTGTCCAGCAAATTTAAGTCTAAGGGTGCCGTCACATACAGCCCGCAATCCGTAATCCGCACCGAATGTCCGCAAAAGTATAAGTAGGGATTGCGTCCGTAACGTTACGTGTATTTTATCTCCTTATGTCCCATGGAGCCGTAATTCCGTAAAAGTTACCAGTTTTTACTAGTAATGCTTTACATTATTTTTTTATTTAACAAGTTTTTAATAGAATCCATGTCAAACTGCAGCGGGACATCTTTAATCAAGCCAGTCCTTAGAACTTTGAAAGCTGGAATAAAAGCTCTTAGGTTATGTTTAGCGAATATGGCATTCCCAACGAGCCTGTTTGCACTAGAGGCAGATTTAACGGTGATCATGATCTTGCCCTTGCCGGTCTTTTTTATTTCAACAATGTCAGGAATGCCGGCTTTTACTATAATTCTGCTAATAAAAGTAGAATGCAAAAAATGGTCTCGAGCGGTGGGATAAACATAGACAATGTATAGCCAAGATCACGCGGCCCGTAACGTGGATCGATTTTCTTTCCTTCCGCGAAGGTAACACGCGGATTTGACTGCGAATTTGCCAGCTCACGTGGTGTACTTACGCTATCGTTACTATTGGCACTTTTTTTAAGAGGAGGCGTTTACGAGCTTACATTTGATTCCGCTTCGACTGAGCTTGGTAATGAACGCTTCTTTGTCTCCGTTGTTCATCAATATCCATAGCAAAAACTTCCAGCTCATTTCGCGATGATGGATGAAACGTTTCGACGAAGCCTTCGGTAGAACAGGATGCAGAAGCGCTGCCAAAACTATTGTCCGTTGGCGCGCAAGGGGTTACACTTCCACTGACCTGTGGCGTCATAGACGCTACAACACTTGTATTTGAACGGTCATTGTCGATGGGTGGATTTTGCGACAAATTTTCACTGTGCTGGGAAATCGGAAAGGTGGAGATTATATCGGGTAGAGAAGGGAGAGAAGAAGGACCAAAGTTAATTAACGGCGGCACATACTGTGGCTGCTTTCGATCAAGGCTTTTAGGCGACACACATCGACACAGTGTCGAACGCGGTGCTTTCCAACAACGACACGCCTCGGCACGATTCGACACAGCAGCTTAGACTGCTTTCCATCAAGGCTTTTAGACGACACACATCGACACAGTGTCGAACGCGGTGCTTTCCAACAACGACACGCCACGACACGATTCGACACAGCAGAAAAGCATAGTCGGACACTCTTGGTTATGGTTGCTAATTTTCGGTTGGCGCTTTAGAATATTTACATTTTAAATATATGTACGATATAAGAAGTACGTTCATAAGTCATCTGGATTATTTTAATGTAAAAAATAATATCTACGCATAAGATTATTATCCAACAAGAGACACAGAAGTGACACGGTGTGACACGGCAATCGTTGCATCCTCGTCGTTCGCTAATGTTAAATAAAGATGAGGTGATTGCTGTGTCGTAGATGGAAAGCAACCTGTGACGGCGGCTTGAGGGAGAATGGCGTGCTCGCGGCACCGCCGCCGCCCTGCCCCCCCTCTTCATGGGACAAAGGCATGGCGCCGCGAATGAGGTTATCCACACAAAAATACCGACTAAAGAAGTTCGATATGTATTAAGAATGTCAAATCCACAAGCGCACCTTGGGGGCACTCAAATAAAGAATTGCCGAAGCAATTACAATTGCTCGAAACAGACAATAAACGCGCACGCACACGAGAAACAATCCACTGATTGCACGAGCGTCCTATCCGTTCAAATGGAGGCCTCTCATCCTGGAGATTTCTTATTGGCTGCTCAAAATCAAAATAACGAAACGCAGGAGCTGCACAATGTGTGTTTCCATGAGAGCTATTGCAATATCCGGTCGTATCATATTACAATAGTCATGGACGTAAAAATAACTGCGAACGAAACGTGAACTCTAAAATCGAACCCCAGACATTAATGCTACGAACATACATTATAAAACTATATCTATTTATACATTGATGCATTATGCCTAGTTCATACTGGATGCGATGAGCGATGAACGACGAGCGATAACCAATAAAAGCTTTGCTTTAGCTCACACGACGATGTAAAGAAGAGTTCTTATTGGTTATCGCTCGTCGCGCATCGCTCATCGCGCCTAGTGTGAACTAGGCATTAGATGCAATAATGAATTAAAATAGCGCTCTGATCACATGAATTTATGGTGCGGTCAAAGTCTCGCTACAAATGCTTTGAAGCGTTTGATTGACCAATCAGAAAAAAGAATTTTCCTTAAAGGACTTTACGCAGTCCTTCGCTTATAGACGAGTGTTCTTCCACTTGCCTTGATATCGCAGGCTCGCTGGAATTGATCGTCCCAAATTCTTTATAATAATATGCATGTTATTTTTTTGAAAATATAAATAAATTTATAAAACATATTTAGCATTTACTTTATTATTACTTACCACGATATATTTTTTAGTATCCGAAGAGTATCTTAAGAATTGTCCGATGCGCAAAATACATTTTTTTTATTTCACCGTGTACATTTGCATCACTTTGACAATTTTCGTAACCTATCATAACCACTGAATATAAGCGATCAGAGATGCTTGACAGCTCTGTCAGAATTTTTGCGAATTCCGAAAACCATCGAATTAAAAAGTGTTGCAACCTTTAAGCGAAGAAAATAACTCTGTACGAGCCTTTAGGAGCTTTTTCTGATTACGAATATCATAATTAAAACACGATTCATGTTATATTTTAGCCACAATTTCAGTATATAAAGGTATGTATTTATAAGTGCAGAGCTAGGTCAGTTATGCTCATTTTTCTCCTCGAAGAAACATTATTTCTTTATAAAACCTGTTGAGATTTCTTTGTTATACTACTAGGAAGGCTCGTATGTACAGAGCCGGATTTTGCAAATTAATTCTTGAAAATTTTTTTTAATAGAATTATGTGTACACCTACTTGCACTATGGTACACTTTGGGTGAGATATCAAAACATATTTTTATGATGCCTTTTTTACAAGAAAATAGCTCTGTACGAGCCTTCAGGCTTTTTCTGATTACGAATATCACAATTAAAACACAATTCATGTTATATTTTAGCCACAATTTCAGCATAAAGGTATGTATTTATAAGTGCAGAGCTAGGTCAGTTATGCTAATTTTTCTCCTCGAAGAAATAATATTTCCTTATGAAACCTTTTGGGATTTCTTTGTTATATTGCTGGGAAGGCTCGTACAGAGACAGATTTCGCAAATTGATTCTTGAAAATTATTCTTCTTCATTATGATATTCGTAATTAGGAAAGGCTCCTGAAGGCTCGTACAGAGCTATTTCTTTTGTAAAAAGAGAAAAAAATAATTTGTTCTGATATCTCACTCAGTGCCGTCATCGCCGCCGTCAGTTACGGAGTGAGGAAATGCATTCTTGAATTTTTGGCGCAAGAGATATAAATGTGTTTCTATAATATCTCTCGCTGCGATCTGTAAGATCGATAAAGTCGGATTGAGTCTCGGCAATAACAAAGGAGTGAGAATAGGAAATCTGTCACATCGATGGCATAGAAGAATACCTAAGTGATGTTAGAATATCTGTATGACTTTTTAAAGACAATTCTACTAGCTAAGGTCGTTGCGCAGATATTTTAGATTTTGTATAAAATCTGTTCAACGACTGTGCTTGTTTTCGAAAATGCTGCGAGCTTAAATACAGGTTAGGAAGTCACATCGATTGCATATAAAAACATGTAAGTGACGTTTAATTAATTAATTTTTCTGTTTTTTTATCTGGTTATTTTATGAAATAATTTATTAAAGTTGCAATATCCTCTCGTACGCAGGATTTTTTTAAAAATTTTAATTTAGAGTGTACGCATTGCAGTAGGAAGTGAAGATTTGTATCTTCTCGATTTTACGCAATCTGACGTGCTTGGTCGCTCGGCATCTCTTTGTTTCAGTCGCACATTTTGAAATCACACTTGGCCATCCCACGTAGAAAGCCAGAAAATGTTTCAACAAATTTTTCCTTACTTCATTAATCCTCTATGCAAAATCCAAATCTTTCCCTTCTTTTGTTGAAAGCCGGAATATTTACCAATTATCACTGACTTAATTTAATCTCTACGCAAAACCCATTGAAACTTTTGTCGTTTGACAGTTTTCAGTTTAAAAGTGTGTGTATGGGTCTCTAAAATTCGTTTTCATTATTTTAAAATTTTATCTTACAATTATCTTAACATTTAATTCCGGGCGAATTGTAAGGAATGTAGCTACCGGTAACTAATTTCATACATAACACTTATTTACGTAAAAATTTTAATTAATTTTTGGGGACGCAAGCTAATTTGAATCTTAAATGTTATTTACGGGCAAATTTTAATGAATGTAGCTACTCGCAACTAATTTTATACTTAACATTTATTTACGTATGAATTGTAATCAATTGTACCTACTGGCAACTATTTCAAGTGACTACATTTACATTTTTAGAAAGGTTTCTACAGCATCGTAATCGGAAAATATTGAGAAGTGTAAATCAGGTTACGTTTTTCATAAATTTTTCTCTTCAACTGTTTATAATAATAATAATTAAATTGTGCAAAATGTACTTTTCTCCGTAAAAATAAATAAATAATAAATAAATAAATTTTAAAGAGTCATCGACTATGACAAAAATGATGAAAAAAATTTGTGGTTGATTGGGAAATATATCATTCGTGATATCGAAAAATTATTTATATAGCATTCGTACAACTGTTATAAAATATTTAATAACTTTTATAAAATATATACAATGGAATTGGGAGGGGGGTTACTGAAAAACTATTTCAGCATCAGCAGTCAGGCGTCTGGGAACACTGGGACTGGGCGACGCTGCTGCGCTAGCCACTGTAAATAAACACGCAAACACAAACGTGTTAAATACGCAAAATGTGCAATTTATAAATTTTATAGATTATATAGATCACAGTAAACGAAAATGGATTAAAAGTGATTGCCAAGTATAATCCAATAAGTTAATTCCTTTATCTAATTTAATTCATTTCTTGACAGTGTATTTCCCCCTTTAATCAATTTCCGTTTACTGAAATATTACAGTTATTCGTTTTTACCTTTGCAATAAGAATGCTCCTCAAAGACATAATACGTCGTCAAAGACTTAATACGTCGAGAACCCATTGGATGAAGAAGGGCCAGCAACGGAGCAGACGTCCGGGGAAGAATCCACAGGTGCCATCGAAGAAGACAAGTCCTCCAGTTGATCTGTGAATGCTGAGAAAATGATTAGTTACATACATACATTTAATCGTAGTACTGTCACGGACGAATAAACGTTTCCAACTTACCCTCAAGCTTAGACCAGTCAACCGCAATTAACTGAGTTGCCATGTCAAGGAGATCTCCCGTAGAAGCTTCGCTCCTGGAAGCATCCCACAGCAACCGAATGGACTCCTCCTTAGCCCTATACAGAGGCCGCAAATGTTTCTTCTCCGAACTCTTGTCTTGCTGCAAGCGCAGCTGGTGTGCGTTTGCAAACACCTGGTTCTTCAGCTTTTCTGCAATAGACGGGTGAGTTAATGTTTATGCTGAATACAATAAAATGACTATTCAATTTACCTATAAAATTGTCCACCGTAGGTCCCGACCTAACAATTACGCTGAGAGTCTTGTGATACGACTCCAACGCATTGTTCGTACGGTGGTCCAATTTGAAAACGCTGAAGTGAGCAGGTTTAACAGTGCGGATCTACTGCCTCTCGTAGTATTCCACGAATGTACTCCAGTGGGATCCTACATCATCTGTCATCGCTGACACCAGCACGCGTAGCCCTTCTTCAATCCTGGTTGGGGGTAGTAGGGCGAGTGCCATAAATTTATGGAGGATCCTCCTATGGCCATCCTCGTGATCTATTAGATCCTTCAGCCTATGTTTTTTTCCAATGGCCTGCTTCCTCAGTGCCTAGAACGAAACAAGAAATAAAGTTAAGCACGAAAGATGGATGAAAACAATTATACTTACTTGATAATAATGGAAGAAGCAGCCATGGAAATTAGCTGATGGCCACAGAGCTTGGAGGGCCCCCCTCATGCCCAATTCGTAGTCGCCCATAACATGCCTAGGGACGAATTGCGGTGCAACCTGGGCGAAGAAGAATCTTATCGCTCCTTCGTATACCTCTTGCAGCTTCGTCCCTAGCATCATCCATGCAAAGGGTATGATCTGAAATGTATTTTTTAAATATCGGATTACATATTACACTACGTTAATATAATATGGAATAAAATAAGTTGTAAGATACCTTTTTACCTTTGACAGCCATGAACGTGAGCATTTGTTGTAGACCTTCAACTGCGGGATGGTGTCAAAAGTACCATCGACAAATAGCCAGTCGCTGGAGGCCAACATGGCTGCTGAGTGGGCATCGTTATGAAACATCACAACAGTGTGTCCGGTCGGTGCTGAGTACTTCAGCGCAACCAGACTTGGTCCAGCTGAAGTCTTCAGAATCGACTCTGATAACTGTTGTGATGTTACATACTCGCCCAGATCCTCCAGGGTCTTCAGATTCATGCCAGTCCGCAGCGGACCCTGGCTAGCTTGGTGATATTTCTTCATGCTTTCTCGAGCTTTTTTAAATTTTACGCCGACAGCTGCCTGCTGGAGACTGCAATTTTATATACGATATGTATAAATTAAGGTATTGTATTATTTTATTTAATATAAAAATCATGAAATTACTTAAATAATTAATTATGAGATATCTTACCTCGGTTCATTGGACAGCCTCCTATATATGGCTTTGTAACCGGTCCCCTCTGTGCTGGCAGCCTTATTCAGCAAGATCTGGAAACGCTCTTCTTCTACATCTCGGATAATTTTTTACACTGGGCACCGTGGGCTTTCTTCAGTACAAAATCTTCCCAACAACATTTTCCGGGAAGTCCCTATTCCGAACTTCCCGGAAAATGTTCTTCCAGGAAAGTAATGGCGAGTTTTATATCAAAAAAAGAAAAATTGCACGCAGAGTGATAGCAGAAAGAAGAAGAAAAAATGGAAAATAAGAGAGGAAGGTAGAAGAAAGTGATGAGGACAATGTGAAGGAAATGGAAAAGTCGAAGAAACAATACTTGAAGTATTCTCCAACCGGCAGATATTTTGACGGTTACAAGTACCAGATTAAGGACCGAAACGCCAAAGGGGTGCTGTAAGTATGATAATTAATTTTTTAATTTGTTGCAAAAATGTAATAACAGGATAATCTGAAATGAAAATTTGTTTTTTTTTTAAATATTTTCCAGACTTTTAAGATGCCACGACCGCAAGAATTGTGGGGGGATGGCTTCTCTCAACGGGGAAGATTTTGTACTGAAGAAAGCCCACGGTGCCCAGTGTAAAAAATTATCCGAGATGTAGA